TACATTTATTTCAAAGTTATTTCACTGTATCTTTGAATTTGCCAACTATCCTCTTGTTAGGTGTATATAGAAATCAGATTTCAGATCTTTCCATCAAGCTTTGCAACGTGCTTCAAATTTTAATTTAATCTGTAATTGTAAAGATTATATGAATTTTGTCAAGCATAGGAAACGGATATTTTTAAGACAGGCAGTGTAGAAACTGAAATGTATTTGTTACAGATAAACTTTGTTGCAATTTAAGCTTTAGATATTGAAAGGATTTGAATCCTGTGGAGGAGGATCAGGGAATTGCTAGAGTTTAACTACTTGTATGTGATGGAGAAGAAGGAGAAGAAAAATCTATCTGTCTGATTTTGGAGACAGTTTAAATCTACTGTCTTCCTATTGCAATGCAATGGAGTCTCTTATTTGTGTATGTTCAGGAAGTTAGGCTTACACTGAAATAAAAGTAACTTTCATTAAACTATAATCTGGCATTGTTTTGAGTCAGTTTGAATATTTATCTTTTTTATCTGAACTAACATAATGGCTATAGAGATTTATGCAGTAGAGCATGCTGATAGGATCTGATAATGGTTGGGAAAATGGAAGAACAGTAAGCATTTTTTTTTGTGTTTAAGACTTGAGTTCAGCTCCAGTAAGTACTAACGAACATAATTCTTGAATCTACTGAAGAGTTGAAATTATTTGTTTGGACTGCTTTTGCTGCCAAGTTTGTTGTATGTTTCGGGGATAGTTGGTTAATCACTACTTTTAATTACACTTTTTCCACTGGAGGTGAAAATGCTTGGCCCGTTAAAAAAAAGTACTATTTTGGTATGTGTCAGTTACAAACTAAAAAAAAAAATTAAGACAGCTTTCATACTGGCAGCAATGTAGAGAGGGTAAGCAGTGCTGCTTACCCAGAATGCCAGTTGATCCACTTCAAATTGCCCCTTTGCTGACTAACTCTACAGAGATTTTCTTTGAAGCTAAGTAAGCTCTTATAGAGGATTAAGTGAATTTCTTACAGGTATGCGTTATCTTGTATGAAAAGTTATAAGGTGTCTGAAACCTCTGAAGCCTAACTGTTAAGTGCCAGCATTTGGAAATACATGGAAAAGCAATTAATCTACAAGAAAAAAGTGGCCATATGCTGAACAAAAAAATGTTGCTTTAATGCTCTGTTAAGAGACAAATCTGAAATTAATGTTTTCTTCCATAACATAGAGAATTTAAGTAAAGACTCAAAAACTACAAGCTCGTGTTTCACTAGGGAGCAGGGGAAAGGCTCTAGTTTGAATTGAGTTAAAAAGAAGTAAGGAAGTTTGGAAACTAAGGGTTTTACGTGCCTTTTTTTTTTTTTTTAAATTTAAAATATATAACTTTAAATGTTCTGGTTGATTACACAACTTCCATTTAGTCTAGTAGTTCGCGCTGTAAGCTAAAATTGAAGGATGAGTTCAAAGCCCTGATATTATGCCAGGAAAAGCTATGAACTTCAGAACTTTGACATTAGGACTTTAATATAGTTATTTTCAAGTAAAATGCCCCTGAGAAAGAAAGGACAGCGTTTTATGTACCCAGTAATCCCTCTGTCCTAGTATTTTCTTTGCTTTGTATTCATGTTTTCAGATAAGCATACTTTCAGAAAACTGAATGTGTGTGGGGGGGTGGGTGGGTGTGTTTTTTTTGAGGTAGCAATATCTAGAAAAATATTAGCTATGTATGCTTTTAAAGTGAAAGAACTTTCTGGTTTGAGTCCAAAAGCAGGTGGCCATCACGTAAAAAACAAACTTAGCTAATTTTTAGAGCTCTGTTGTGGTGTCTTTATGCGTCCACCCTCTCCAAGGATGATGCTCTTGCAACTTAGCCTAATCTCTATCATGGTTCATATGCTGAATCAAAGCCTTGGGGAACCTGGGCCTGAGCTGTTCTCCTCACGGTGCCTGTACTTGCGTGCTGGCAGGCCTTCCCCGTCCTCCCCACAAAGTATAGTGACGCGGAGGTTTCCTTTTTGTCGATAAAAAGTTAACCTAACAAAGAAGTAGTAGTTTTTCTGCACACAAACGAGTTTTCTTGGCTTGCAAAATGTTTGGCAAGCACAACACAGGAGGGAGGGACTAAATGGAGGAAGTGGGAGATAAGGGAGGAAGATCTTACTTCCGCACTGTTATAAAGTAACCTTAAAGTTGAAGTAAGATACTTTTGGATTTCTTGTTCGACTAATCATTGGATGGGACCTGACAAGAAAAGTTTCATAGCTTTTGAGAAGGTAGTTCCAGAGCAGCTCATGTTGTCCTGTGGTCTGACTGTTGTGGTCTTCCCCCTTCCAGCCGCTGTCTGCTTTGCCCTTTTCCTGGAACTGTTGCCAATGTTCAGTCACTTCTTTGAGTTTGATGTTAAAGATTTGCCTATGGAGAAGTTCTTTCTTTCATTGTTATTAGTTATTTCTCCTCACCGTGGCATTTGCAGGAATATATCTCTTGGGTTAGTGAGCGGGAGTGGATTGAGAGATCCACAGGTCTTTTATTGCCCATCTACTGCTATACTTTGCTTGTTCTGGAGATTTTTCCAGCGATGAAATCTGGGAAAGGAATTTATGAAAATGCTCAGCATAAACGCACAGCAAGAGGCTCCTGAAGCATTATTTTGCCACCTCACGTTAGAATACAGTGCTATTTATCACTCTCTGAATGTATTCAGATCTTGTTGCATATTCTTCATCAATCTCGAGCCAAATAGGTCCTTAATGAAAAAATAGAAATAAGATGAAATACAAAAATGTTAAAATGCTGTGAAGTATCACATTCTTGATACGTGAAGTATCACTGCTGCATTTGAAAGTGAGCTGGAAATTACAGTTTTGAAAACGAGTTTGTCATGGAGATAATTGTTGTCACATTTATGTAGTTAGGAAACTAAGCTAGAATATATTCTAGATATAGACAAACATCACCATTTGACTAAGAAAAATTAGTTTCAAAAAAGACTTTACTATCTGTCATATCAGAAGCTTTCATCATCTTTACTTGTAAAGATTCTGTTCTTACTGTGTTAGTTTCTCATTGGAAAATACAGTATATCTGAACGTGAAGGGAAATTGTTATT